GTGCGTGTGTGTATGTGTGTGTCTATGTGTGTGTGTGTGTGTGTGTGTGTGTGTGTGTGTGTGAGTATATAGGGATCGAGTCCGGCCTGGCCAAGATGATCCTGCAAGGCAGCTTCAAGGTGAAAAGGAGCAGAGGCAGACCGAAGAAGAGTTGGGAGGATAACATCAAGGAATGGACAGGCCTGGAGTTCAAAGACACGCTCAGAAATGCTGAAGACCAGAAGGAGTGGAGGAAGCTGGTGACCAAAATATCTTCAGAAGCGCCCTGACGGACATATCAGTCTACGGGAGAGGTGAAGGCACAGAATTCTACACTGTAGAATTCTGTGGGTGAAGGTGATTGTTATATAATATTATTGTTATAGGCCTGCACGTGATGTTCCACATTATGGGGAGTCGGTGGCCTGCTTGTAGTTAGGCTACCGGACTCGTAATCGTGAGGTTGCGGGTTCGGGGGTTCGAGCCGCGTGCCCGACGGTGTGTCCATGGGAAAGGCACTTAACACCGGTGAAAATGGGTACCCAGCTATAGACAGTGAAAGATCTTGTCAGTTTGTTAGAGTTTGAGCGCTTAACCAGCTGCTTGCACTGTATGCTTCTCAGGAAGCTGAGAATGCTTCTGAGTGTTCTATGGTCTCCTGGGGTAATGTTAAAGTGTAAAGTGCATAGAGCTTGCTTTCGAGTGGGGACATGTACTATACAAATGCTATTTTATTATTATTGTGTAGCCTATAATGTGTAGAAGAAATTATAAAGCCAAGTTGTGAATAGACCTACGTTACTGTGATATCGGTTGGCTACGCAGTGGAGCAGGAGCATGATCCAGTCTCACATGTGAATCACACAAAGACACTATGAGGTGAAATTCTGGTTTTATTCTATTTAAATAAATGTCTACCGCGATGTTTCTGTTCAACTTGACGATCTTCCATTGCCAACCACCGGATCGTTCTGACAACTGTTCCACTTGACGATCAACCAGCTAGCTACTATAACTCACAATACTAAACATTTTCCTTCTGCGTTTATACAGATTTGGAACTGTCAATGACCGTATTGAAAATGTTTTGGTGGTTAATTATATAGCTTGTCGGAGGGGGGGG